GATATTTTAGGAAATATTCAAAGGGCAGAATATTTCCCCTAAAAGGGAGGCAGAAACTCAGCCCACCCACCACCACCTTTGTCAATGAGCCATTAAGGCCTGGGCCAGTCTATTCTATATAACAAAGATCTACCTCCTTCAGGCTGAGCCACAGTAGGAATGGCCCAAAGCCCTTTCATTATACCATCACCCTGCAAGACTCAACGAAGCCTGGGGCTCAAAAACACAATCTACAAAGTTCCATGAGAGTCTGACACCCAATCAGAATACAAGCTCAAATTCAAATCCCAATAGAGAATATAAATCTCTCTCTCACACACACTCTTTTTCCACTCCATGTGTCTTTTTGCCCAGGACCTCAAGCCAAGTGGTCCTGTTCACCATTAAACCATCTTTCCAATCAGCCACCATGTTTCCAATGTCTTTTTTCCACATTTGGAACTGAACCCAGAAGGCCATTTCTTTCAACATTACTTTATAGTGTCACCAGGAACACATTTCTGATCCCGAGCATCCTGGCACCTGAATTATCTTTTCCCAGACATCCTTGGCTGCTCTACCAAATGCTGTTGGTTTTTTTTCTTCCATTCAATCATATCTGGTTCTTGAAGACTGCCTAAAACAAGTCCCTACAGGTTTCTTGGCAAAATTTCAGAAGCAGCTGGCCAGAAGTCTGTGGGTTCTAGTCTTGCCTTTAGGCACAAAGCCAGCTGAGGTCCTTTGACCAGTCACTCTTTCTCAGCTCTAGGAAGGACACAACGGCAAGCCACTTCTGAAAACCTTGCCAACAAAGCTGCAGGTAGTGGCCAGGAGTCAAAAATCAACCTGGAAGCAAGAGAGACTGATCGCTAATCTTTTGAAGCTAAGGGGATAATGAGGATTGTCTTCAGGGGTGTTTTGGTTTTTTTTTTTTGACTCTGTGATGATGTAATTTATGACCATGTTGTTTTATTGAATGGTTATATACTCATTAGCTATAATCTCGTTGCCATTCTGAAAATCTGTAAGCTTCTTAAGAGAGGAGGCTAGGGGACAGAAGCCTAATAGGATCAATGAATGAATGAATGGAAGAAGAAGAAAGCATTGGGCACAGGCTGCCATTTTGCATTCTCACTGCTTCCAAATTCAGCAGTGAGAAAAACTGCAAGGAAATCCGGGCCACCCAACTTTGCTTCAGGCCCAGAAGAAGCTCCTTCCTTCCTTCCTTCCTTCCCTGGGCAGCAAAACTCCAGGATGAGAGAAGATCAGGAAACCATCAGAGCTCGACTCCCAAACCCAGAATCTCTGACAGGTTGCCGGCTGGGGCTTATGGGTATTACAGTCCAGGCTGTCATGAGGAGCGGGGTTTGACAGCGCCTTGATGGCCCCCACGTTGCGGGGGAGGGGGGGGACTCTCAGTCCAAACTCCCGCGCAGGCGCAGTGGGGACGCACCGGGAAACTATGTGGATGATGGGCCCTGCAGTCCCCTCGGCCGTGGATGATAGGGGGTGTAATCCCACTTCGCTCCGCCCCGGATTTCCTTCAAGGGGGCATACTAGGGTGATGTATGCAAATAAGCCGGGCTGAAGGGCCTCCCACGCCCTTCACCTCACCTTCCCTTCCTCTCGCTTGAATGGCGGGCCGCCCGGTCCCGCCTATCCCGGAGCGGGGGAAGCTGAAGGCATCCTTCCCCCACCCGCCCACCCCGGCACGAGCCGCGCTCCCCCCCACTCCAGCACCTCACCAGCCGGGCAGCGCAGCAGCCCCCGGGCCGACCGCCTCAGCCCCGCCGCGGCCGCCGCCATCTTTGAGTCGGGCGACGAGCGGGGAGAGCCAAGGGGGCGGGGAGAGCTGCCGCGGACGCCATCTATGGAGCGGGGCGCGGCCTCCTCGCGCAGGAGAGGGAGGAGGGAGCGAGACGCCGCTGACGTTTAGGCCTCCCAGCTCGCCCCTCCGCGCGCGGCCTCCACCCAATCAGGGACTCCCCTCCCTGTTTTTGAACTCCGGGGCCCACCGGTGTCGAAAGTGCCATCTTTGAAACTGGCCGAGGGGGGCGGGAGCAGCTTTCCCCACCGGCGCTCCGGCGCCATCTTTGAAAAGGGCAGGCCCTGCTGAGGAGAAAAACAAGAGGGCCGAGAAGCACGAGGGGTGACCGGTAGGTAGCGATGGAGGAGCGGGGAGGCTTTCCTAGCCGGGACGTTGCGCCGTGGAGGCCTTTTCCTTCTCGTCTTTTCCGCGGGAGCGCCAGGGACTGTCCGGGACCCCCGCACAACAACCCGGAGAGGTGGGCCGGCCTACGATCGCCCTTAGCGAAGATTAGGACGACCCAGCCGGCCCTCTGAATCCTCCGGTCGGCCTTGTTTTCCTCAAGGTTTCCAAACTGGTCTTAAAATTGCTCTGTGGGCTGAAGGGGAGGGATGAGGTATGTCGGGGGGGGGTCTGAATCTCACCACGAAAGCCTCAATTTTCATCTTTACAAACATTAACATTAAAAAAAAGCTCTGGGAAAGATTCTGGGAGTTGAGGTCCAGCTGGGGAATTCTGGGAGTCGAAGTCCGCAGTTCTGGCTGAAGGATTTTGGGAGTTGAAGTCCGCAGCTCCAGCTGGGGGATTCTGGGAGACGAGGTCTGCTGGGGGATTTTGGGAGTTGAAGGCCACAGGTCCGGCTGAGGGATTCCTGGAGTTGAGGTCCAGCTGGGGGATTCTGGGAGTCAAAGTCCGCAGGTCTGGCTGGGGGATTCTGGGAGTTGAAGTCCACAAGTCTTAAAGATCACCAAGTTTGGAGACTCCTGACCCAGACCAAACTGGCTGTTTTTCCTCTTATTTTCCTACATTTTATGCATGTTCCTAATGTATGGTGCCCATAGGTACCATACATTAACTATGACTGCCTACTGCTGTCCAGAAGGAAAATTCAAAATAATGGCTTATTATGCCATTGCAGGCCAAATGTAATAGAATCCTTAAGTCATGTTTTATTATAGTGCCTCTGTTGTAGAGTTAATATCTATGATAAAACATGTATTGCATTGTTGTTAGCTGACTTCCCAGAATGCAGGAATTGTTTTTATATTAAATTGCTGCTGGCTGATCACTATGATTCTGCATCCTTGGCAGTGACCAAATTTTGCTCTCAAGGTCAGGGGTCAAATTCTGACTCAGCAACACAAATACTTTATTCTTGAATAAGTATTGCAGAGCCTTTTCTTTCTATCTGGTTTTTGGGCTTTGCTCTGTAAGGCTTATCTTCCTTTTTACTGTTGTAATATTTGGGCTATGATTGTACGTTGAATAAACAAACATACTTATCATACCACCCCTTGTTATGGAATGCACAAGAAATAATAACTAAAGACAGGACAGAAAAGGAAATGCAGCTAAAACTATTTACACTGGCACTTACACTGCGCATAATGGCAAAAGTGCCATTTGGGGGGCACTGAAAAAGAATTGAGCATATATCTCATCTTCTTCCAATTACTATTAACACGGGTATCACTCTATCCCCTTAAACCTCAGTTTGCATATAAAACAGGCTCTCTGTGTTCAACAGCACAGCTTTATAGGAATATTTAAGGATATTTATTGTAGCTGACAGTAACTGGAGGCAGAAAAGGAAGAGAAGATTTTGAAATAGATTTTAGTTTAAAAGAGGAGGAAATGAAAATTTATGTCTGAATTATCATATCTTGCCTTTAGCAAAATAACTGTTGAGGATGGAAGATCTTTACCCCCTATCAGCTGATGTGAACTAGGGATAGTAGATTTCCTATTACTCATTTTTTATTGGCTATTCAAAAACGTATTTCTCATGCCTTGCTTTAAGGCATCAAAATTTTCTTACCTATACTTTAAAAAAATAGATATCTGACTCCTTCAGATATCTATTTTTCAATATGTGTATTCATGCAAAAATACAGATAATCCTCAACAACTAATTGAGACTGGATTTATGGTTGTGATGAGCATTAAATGGGTCACCATTTGACCCTGCCCGATCTTTTGACCTTTTTGGGGGTAGTTGTTAAGCAAATGCTGTGGTTATTAAGCAAACCCATTTTATGAATGAAGAGAAATGTACATGTTCCAGGAGTATGTTGCAAGATCCAATCTGAGTCGGTCATTGGAACCAGAGGTTTACTCTTCCTATAAACAGTAAACCTCTGTTCTCAGTGACCAACCCAGATTAGATCTTGCAAACCCATTTTTTAAATCTATATTTCATATTTCTTAATTGCCTGTCCCCCTTTGGATTTTCTCATTTCCGTCTTCCCATTTTTCCCAATGGGCATTTTTCTTTTGGCTAGAAATAAAGGTGAGAAAAAACCCACTAAAAATTGGGTTCATGTGACTGCAGGATGCTGCACACGGCTATAAATGCGAGCCAGATGCCAAGCTCCCAAAATGGGATCACATGACCAGGGTGTGTGCGGCTTTTGGAAATTGGATGAGGTAGTAAGCAGCTCCACAGAGGTTCATTTGTAACATCAACCATTTAACCAGTTGTTAAACCAGGACTACTTGTAAAATATTTCACCCAGTGTTTTCTAGTTCTCTTTATAATTGGAAAGCATGCCATTCTTCAACATAGTGCCTTCTAAATGTAAGCCTTTTTTGGATTCAATTCACAGAGTACCTCAAATATATTGTGTTAATTGGAACCTACATTTGCTATATTTTGTGTCTTTTATTTTAAGGAACAATGTCTATTTTCTTTCAGATCTTGAACTAGTTCCAGCATGGCAGAGTATGGGATCTCTCTCGGTGAACAAGTGGCTGTGGTTTGCGATAGTTACGCCTCTCCCAAGGCACTTCAGGCATTTGTCGAGGATGTTCAAGCAATTATTGGAGCTGAAAATCAAGTTTCGGTAGAAAACATCAATCAGCTGCTTTACTGTGAGTGTTCAGAAGTATTCATTATCATGGTAAATCTATTTGAGTTAAAGATGACATGTGCCAGTTATAAAGGAGAACTCTTCATTATTGTTAATACGTTAGAACAGTGTTTCCCAACCTTGGCAACTTGAAGATGTCTGGACTTCAATTCCCAGAATTCCCCAGCCAGCATTCGCTGGCTGGGGAATTCTGGGAGTTAAAGTCCAGACATCTTCAAATTGTCAAAGGTTGGGAAACACTGCGTTAGAACACTAATGCTAAGTCTTATGCTCTGTGCAGGATGGTCCTT